CAAATTAAAAATAAACATAATATAAACAATATCCTAGTTCTTGAACAATACAATATCCAAATTGTTAAACAATACTAATACTAAAAATAATAAAAATTCCACTATAATAAACTATTAATAATAATAATACTCTAAAATTTACTCATAAAATAAATGGAACTTTTTAGTCCCATATTTATTCTGAATATAATCTATCCATTTTCTCCAAAATTGCTTCTTAAGATTAATTCACAAAATTAATATTTAAAATTCCTCTTCATATTAGTAAAAACATCCTATTCTAAGGAATACGTGCATTAAAAGCAGATTTTATTTTAGATAGTTTTTCAAAATGTTAGAAAGAACAAGAAAATTAAGGGATTTATATGCGTATAATTATGATTTGTTTCTGGGATGGCATTCTACAAGATAAACAATGATTACTGTAAGAACAGTAAGCTTACATTATATTGTGGAACTGGCTTAAATGGAAAATCATTCTGTTTTACAGGATATAACTAATTTAGAGGTCAAAAGAGCAGTGACTGTACTAATGGTAGAACTAGTTCAGCTATATTTGTCTCTGTTTCATTATAGGAAGTATGGGATGAAAGTTAACTTCCTTTTTCTCCTAAGTATACTTATAAGCCAATCTTTAAACTTTGTATCAGCATACACTGATACTACTGGTTAATTTTCCAAGTATACTGCATATTTTAACATCTATGTCAGGGATAGGCAACCTTGGCTCTTTTATGACTCGTGGACTTCAACTCCCAGAATTCCTGAGCCAGCCATGCTGGAGGGAAAGGGAGAGGTTTCCATGCTGAGCAATGCTGGCTCAGGAATTCTGGGAGTTGAAGTCCACGAGTCATAAAAAAGCCAAGGTTGCCTACCCCTGATCTATGTCAAAAGCCATTCTACTGTATTTCTATGAAAACATAGCACCAGTATTTTCAATTACTTGTATTTTATAAAATCTGGTTATGCATATTATAAAGTAAAAGATAAAGATGCTCTTGACATTGCATCTTGGCAGTTTTCTTGGCTTATTATTATTATTATTGTTTATTGGCTTATTATTATTCTTCCAATACAGTTGGAAGAATATCAGTCCAGTTAACCATCCTGGAATTCCCTGACAATCTCCCTCCACATACTAATCAGAGCCAACAAAATTTATCTTTTGGGATTATCCACAATCAGTTTGGTAGTGCTATTCCTTTAGACATATTTTATAGACTTTTTAATACAATGATTTGGATATAGAACTATAGAACATAAAATCTAATATGAAAGCCAATATGGGGAGACTACATGACAACTCAAAACCTTTAATCCCTTATATAGAACCAGATTTCCGAAGAATATTTTTAAATATCGATCAGATTTTCAGTATTTTTCTTACCCGTATATTAAAAAAATTATTAGACAGTTTACATTTTTTTAATTATTCAGTAAACATACCACATTTTGTGCAGAAATCTGATTTGAATACAGTATGTATATGGCAACCCTGTAGTCTATCTATATCCTTCAAGTAGTTTGTACAAGTACTAAAGTTGCTTTTTTTTTAATCACCAAATTTAAGTCTCTCATATAAACGTTACCAAATGGAATGGCAGATGAAGGCAGCTCCTTTTCCTCATAGCTGTTCTTGGTCCATAAAACATTTGACATAATTACCATGAAAAACAATTTAAATTAAGAGATCAACAAGCAAACAGTTTCATCTCCTGAGCCCTCTCCCTCTTCCAGTTCCCTAAATCACAAAGCTTCTCAATTTGGGAATTTGGGTGGCAGAGATGAGTTTATAAAATGCTCAGACAAAGAAAAGGAAAGCTTAACCTTGGTACCTGAAGTATAAGAGTTAGAAGATTGTTTATATGTTTGTTTAATGTGCAGGAACAGTTCATAATATACCAGGCACCGCTATACATGCGCTTGGAGACAAAAGGATTGCTGACTACACTTGTTTCACTTCTAATCATCTGTTACAAACTAAAAATACATGGTTAGGATAGTAACACACATACATATTCCCCCCAAAACACACAGAGATACATGCTGTAAAATAGATTAGCATCTCTCCTCAAAACAAGAGTAATACTTCCAAGAAGATTCTAATTTTAGGGATAATGTCATACCTGTGAAACTTGCAAGGATTAAATAATATTAATATTCCTCAAGGACTGACTCCATATAATGTAGCCCCAGCCAGCAAGAATCAGGTTCCACTCCAAAGCTAAACTATTCAGATGATACTAATGTTATTTGAATAATCAGTCTCTGGTATGTATATCACCCAACAAAGTAACAGCTGCCGAAGCAAACTAAAAACTATCTAAAAGGCATGCATACGAAGATTTCCAATATGCATGCATGAACTTGTTTTATATAGTTTTTCCCTTTTGTGGGAAGTGAAAATCATAGTTAAGAATGCTATACATTCTTTTCAAACATGTGGCTAAATAGCAGCATTGTTACAATGTCATTTCCAAGTTCTGAATAAAGTAGCCTAAACTTTCATAATATAGTAAGATATTTTCTATTATTCATAAAATTGTGAACACCAAAACATTATATTCTTGGGATCCCTTGAGGTTTCCTAGTAAGTTAGAAACCATTTTCTGAATATAACTATATTATACATATTTTGCTCTTCTCCATCTCCTCTGTTTCCTCTTTTAATCTATTTGGAATTTGCAGACCACTCCCACTCTCACTCCATAAAATTTACTATTTGCCTGTCTCCAGATTTCAACAAGCATTCAAGAACACTAAAGTTCTATATTGCTTTTCACAGAAGATATAAAGGTTAATTCTTTAAATATTGATGCAGCATCTTTTAATTTAGGCGCTCAAACTGCTGGAATGCAATGACTTCTTGAAACTTTTTCCATAGAAAAAGAGGTACTTCTTGCAATAACTGGCCCTACAAATGTAATTTATATTTGTAAGAATATTGAAATCATTAATATGAGAATAGATGGATTAACAATATACCCTTGGTCCCACCAAACTAAGTGAAAGAAAAATATCTAGTAGAACAGAACATAAACTAGAATAATTATATGGAAATAGACATGTCACTAAATAGTTTGGAATTTTTATCTCACATAAAAATTCTTGTTTTAATACAATTTTTTTCTTAATAAATATAATTGTCAAATGACCAATTGAAATATTTAACCAATCAGATCAGTTCCAGGTCAATTGGTACCAACTGTATACATTTTCTACTAAGAAACAGAAGCGGGGAAAAAAAGGAAGGAGAGTTTATAATGCATTTTATTACTATTTTAGTAATAAACTTAGCAATTAAACATATATTTAGCTGTAAGGTTATTCAATTATGTATACAGATCTTTATACAAAGAACTTTTAAAAAAGAAGTTATAAAAGAAAAGCCATTAGCAAGCAATGAATGATATTTCTTCCCAGAGAATGTTAGTTTCTTACTTAAAGAGGATTGTACATTTTTAAGTGTTAACAATAAACAATATTATTTACAAGCAAACACATTATTTACATTATTTCATTGGGAAATCTTTCCAAGTTCAACAAGACTTTATTTCCAAATGCGCATAGAGCTATAGCTTATATTTTTATCTGGCCTTCATGTTAGATATTATACATACGCATTCTGTATTCTATTAAACATTTATATCATGTTTTCACAAATACTTTAATCATTGATGGCATTTTAAACAATTTTAGCAAAAATCTTTTCAATGCAAAGCAGTTGAATTTGCAAATAAAATAAATGTATTTGCAGATGTTTTCAACTAAATGCTTTGTATATTTTTTTCTGTATACTCAGATTTAAAGCAATAACACAATGAAATAAAAATGAAAATATATCAAGAAATTTTCAACATTTTAGCATTTGGTACTGCTTGATAATAATAATGTATTACAAAAACTCATTGTAGTTTCTCATTTTATAAAGTATGATGATGTTAATATTGGCTACTGTACTACTTTGCATGATACTAATTTGAGATGTATATCTTAAGAAATTTATTTATGGTATATATTTTCAAAATTGATAGTGTATACGTGGGAACTAGTTCTTAATTTTTAATGAATTTTTAAATAAGCTTATGCATAATGGATATTATTAATGATTTTACAAATGAAATATGAATGCTTAAGTATTGAGTAAGCATACCAAAATAAATACCAATAGATTTAAGATACAACAGGTAGGGCAAATGACATTGGTATCCTGCCAATTACCTAACCCTTACATTTCCAACTAAATTTCTTTAAATAGGTTTTATATGTTTTAATTCTCAATATGAGATAATCTAATTTATACACCTCAAACTTTTTCTGAAGGTCTTTAAAAAGATTTCTAAAAGTTTTGTTTTGAAGATTTGTTTTCATTTAGTTAATATTCATAACTAGGTTTAGAATCCTAATAACAACAACAACAAACAACAAAAATTTGTGTTTTTTAAATGCTGGGAATACTTTATAACCCTGATCATTCAGGAAGTGAAAACAGATGTACTTGTCCCAAGGTTAAGTTACTCTAATAGGTAGATTCATATGTATCAACTCCATAAAAACTATACTGCTAACTACTCACATCACTAAGTTAACCAAAAAAAAGACTAATTATGTATAAGCAATATATTGTCATAAAAAATTTAACTGCTGTCTACTATATAAGAATATCTTTTGATGAGAAAATACTGCAACTTCAACATGTTGGCCCTTCTCAAAATGACAGTATCTTCTCCAATTTCAGACCACCAACCTTGGAAGATGACAAACCTTATATATCTTTTGAATTTCAGCATGCTAATTCTTAATGTAAAATTATTTATTTTAAGTTCATTGCCTCACAAAATATTTTAATTTGTAACAAATTTCACTACAATCACAATTTTCTTGACAGCTTCCCAATAAATATAATTACTAACTTCAGATTAAAATACTTTCTCAATCTCTTATTAATAATGCAATTTTTAATTTAGACATTAAACTATTATGTGTATGTAATAAAATACCTTTGTCTTTTGGGAACTGAATGTTCAACTTCTAGGAGTTTACCATGCAGCTCCACTTTACCTGCAAACAGTAACACAACTCATTATAGAATGAATTATGTGCTCTCTCATGCCTTCAAGTCTTCTAATGCTCTCATGAATTGAATATGTAATGATGCAGAACACAACAAATACAACACATTTATGGGTTTTAAAATTGTTGTAGGATAGTGGGAAAATCACAAAAGGTTACTTTAGAAGAGGCCAAGATAAATGCTCAAACTAGTACCAAGAGGTTTTCCTTATTTAAAGTGGATGCTTCATTATTTAACCTGCGCTTTCCAAAATGTGGAAACATTAACTGCACAAAGACATATACATATGTATGTCTCCCTTGACGAAAAGAACAGGCCTCTAATAACTTGTCACGAGGAAACAGGAACTGCTGGTTTCAGTGAAAAATGAGCGCGCTCCCCACGCGTTTTTTCCTGGAAATACACCCTCTTATGTCTTCTTTCATATGCTTACTCCCACAGTCACCGGCTGAGACAAGGTTCCCCCCACCCCAGCTCAGAGATGGAGGAGAGTGAAAACAGGATTCAAATGAAATCATTCAGTCTAACCAGCCTCCCCCGTTCAGCCCTCCAAGTCGTCTTTCACACAAAAACAGGATGTAGAAACTGAGAGGTCGAGATGCTCAGTGAATGCCTGAGAGCCAAAGGAAAAGCGAAATGACACCCAGAAACAGCGGCGAATTGGGCTTCCAGGCCTCGACCTCTCTCCTGAAAGAGGCAGGACGCCGAGGAGGAGGAGGAGCTCTTTGTTGTTTTTGTTTTAAACAGCCAAAGTTTGGCTTCCAAAGTGAGACGGAATCAACTGTCCCACATTCGATAACTCTTCCCCTCACAAATTCGAAATAAATGGGTAAGGGGCGTGATTTAGAGAAGCCAGCGAGAATCTCCGGGCGCGCACGCTTTGCGCTTCCAGCAAAGCTTGAGGCGCCGCACGTTTTCTCCATGGAAAGGCTCGTGTTTCCATTTCCACCTGCCCCACGGACAACAGGAAACTTACATCTCTCTGCCGCGGTACTCCGTGTGCCAGCGTTTAGAGCGAGAGGGAACCCCTCCGCCACGAAGTAGGTGGCTACTAGTTGGGCCCTGGTTTGTGCGTTTCTGCGCGCGCGCCTCCCTTTCTACTAGTGTGGGCGACGTTTAGCGCGTCTTCTCTCCCTCTCCTCACGCCGTTTTCTCGAATACATTTGAAACGCTGTTTTTTTTAAGTGGGGGAGAGAGCGAGCAGCAAATTCTCCGAGCCCCAGTGGTCTTGCAATCCCTACTCTCAATGCTTTTTCTTTTCTCCGAAAGACACGGCTTAGACCCCAGCCATTCCCGCGTTACCTGACGGAGTGCCCGAGGGCTGCAAGGAAAGAGAAACAACAACCTCGAGCGAATCTAAGCACTGCTCCCTCGGGGCCCCGAATAGCGCGGCTGGAGTCCTTCAAAATAAGCGCAGCCTCATATACCCGAACCCCGCACCGAAAAAAAAAAACCGTCAGGAAGAGCCTTCAGATCAAATTGAGGGATTATAATCCGGGAGTAGGAATTTTAGATCAAAACGACAAGGGCAATACGCAGAGGGGTGGGGCGGAGAGAATTCTTACCGGGGGGGGGGGTATTGGAGCAGAGGAAGGCAGCGGATGGCGCCCTGAAATGAGCGTACGGGTAGTAGGAAGCCAAGGCTGGGATGGCTGAGGGGACTTCACCCACCTGAAAGTGCCTCGATGGCCTTCATAGCCCAGTTCTCGTCGGGGCAGTCCACAAAAGCATATCCCGTCTTCACAAGAAACTGACCGGTGAAAGGAATCTTGGACTCTTTAAAGATACTTTCCAGGTCCATAGGGCACACGTTTTCGCCCAGGTTCCCGATGTACAGCTTATTCATCTTCTTAGTGAAAAATAGACCTTTGCTTAACGACAATTAAAGAAAACATGCACAGGCTGACTTGAAGCAACAAAAAAAAAAAAACACCCCCTCAAATGATTCTTGGAATCAAAATAAGAGAGGGCGGGTGCAAAGAAAGAGAGAGAAGACTTATAACTGCAGCTTGTATCCGTCCGTCTCCCACCCACCCCTCTCCCTCCCGCTTCACAGAAGGAAAAAAAAAAAGCCTGTGCCCAAATACTGAACGTTCGCTGCGCTACCCGAAGCTACGGCAGAAATCACGATGCGTTCGGAACTGCGATGGCGGTTTAAAAAAAGGGAAAGGGAGGAGAAAGAGGGGAGGGGGGAAACTACTTTTTTGTCTTACCCCCAAACCCCTTGCAAGCAGCAGGCGGAGTATGAAAATGTTACAATACGAGAACGCAGGCACCGCCTCTTCCAAAAAGAGAGAGAGGGAGGAGGGGAAAGCAAAAAAAAAACCACTTGAATAGTCCGGCTTTTTGAATGAGCCACGTGTTCATACTACCAATCAACTTCTCACGTGAGGAATACGAACGCCTCAATTAGATAACAGCAGATTTAAGCTCAGGGAGTCACAAAGGAGTAGAAAGCGAGCTAGCTTTGGCCGTTCAGAGCATTTTTATTATTTAAAGAGCGAGATTTGATCGGCTAGGAATCCTGACCGCACCGCGTGCTCTTTCCCCTGTTTACTACTTTCTCCTTCGGATTTAGTTGCTGTGTACACGAACTATCTCCTTTATGCCAAGTTTCTCTGCCTTTCGAGGCTCAGAAGCTCCCTCCCCTGGATCGGGACAACTGTATAACTACAAAGGGTCAAGAGAGGCGAAATTCTCCCTACCTTTAATCTAGGGGAAAGGCAGAAGTGCAGTAAAGAGGCCAAATGTGATACAAGGGCCACCCATTCGCCTTCCCCGCAATTGCTGGCGTTCCCCAAAGTGTGCCTGGGCCTGATGAGAACAAGCTATATAGCTCCCAAGGAACCTCCTTAAGGCAAAACACCGATCTCGGAGCTGGTCTTCCACTACAAATTCATGAACACTGCGCTACTACCACTTCTGTCCGGGATTTCGCGTTTGGTGGCTCCGTCTAGTTGTCTTGTTCGCAATTGGCTACACGCCAGAGAAAGACCAAGGGGTCTCGTAGAGGGCGGGAGGAGGAGGAACGACCGTCTCCTTGAAACAGCTCCCACCCACCCTTTTCCTTCCTGCATAATAAGGTTTCTGGCAGTTTAATGAGCGTTCATTGCATCGATTCTAGAGCTCAACATTATGAATCAGAGGACAAAGGGGTGGAGGCCAGTTGGAGGGTGATTAAAAAGTGGGAGTGCGCAGGGGGAAGAGGACAATGTGCTCCTCTGGATGTCTCCCCCTTCCCAAACTGTTTCCTTCCTCCATTATTTCAAATTTAGTAATGGTGATTTCTGTCTCAGAAAATGGGAGTGATTGGACAATATAGCCCTGCAATTACCATAGGACAGAGGAATCCATCCACCCCCATTCTCCTCCCCTCTTTGGTTCAAGGAACCATTCATAATTTTCAACATTTGTAAGTGTACAATGGTGGGTTTGTGGTAGGGGGGGAGCAGAATGGTGTGGAGCCTGGTTCCAGGGGAAACAAAATGAAGCCTGAAGATGAAGACAGAGTATGGAAATGAAAGCCAGCACTGTATTTCATAGCTAGGAATCCAGTAGGTTTTAAGAATTCCCTTTAGTTGAAAGGGTTCATTTATTCTGCATAGATGGAGAAAGTAGTTACAATGAGTAGATTAAAATGGTTCAGCGTTTGGTTTAGTTTACAATGGCAATCCCTGCACTGATTTTTTGTTAAAATATGCAGAAAATAGTAACATATTCTCATATTTGCAGGTAAACAAAATTATTTTTAGTCTGCAGAAATATTCTAAATACTTTTTAATTAACACTTTTGCTGTGGCTATGCTTTTGTTTAATCAAATATATAATACATACAAAAAAAACTGATACCACCTCATAGTTTTGATAGCACTTGTATCAGAAACATGTTTAAGAAGCAAATATGCATGTATAAATTGCTACCTTTTAGCACCATCATCAATAAATAATAGCTTTATGATACTAACATCCTTTTTCTGTTTTAGAACAATTTTTTTTAGGTATGAGAAAGTATTTTAACAGATCAACTCTTAGATCAAATCAACTTCCAATAAAATAATTAGATGAACATGTCTTCTTGAATGCTACATTTTCTATAATATCTTTAATATTCTAAAGAAAATTTTTTTAAAGCAACTTAAAATAGGAGCTTACTATCATATTCCAAAGTTGTTATTTTAGTAACAATTTATAAAATACACATGCAATTATGTTTCTATAAATGTGACACAAAAATTAACGTAGTTTCAGGTGCTTTGTTAATACTGTTTAATATTTTCTTAACCACAAAACTAAATATAGGGCATATTTAAAGTTTAATCAGGCATTTATGAAATTAGCTACTGTATGGAATATTTTAGCGAGTTTTGTAATTGATGAACAAATGGGTTAGTTTCTATAAAATAAGTACCTTAAATTTTCATTTGATAATAAGTATTTTTAAATATAAAATACAGATTTTTACCCTATTAAATGGTAATAGAATATAAAACATTTTATAATGAAAGATCCAATTTCTAAGAAAAGTATTGTTTTAGCTCCTACAAATGACAAATTACAAGGTACATCTCAAATATTTGATAACATAATTTACAATTAAAATGCTAGCTTATAGGTTAACATTTCAAAGTGGTGTTCAGTTGCTTTTAAAAGGTTCACTGTTGATAAAACTACATGGTCACTGAAATTACAATGGAATGACTACTTTAAAACAATGCCAGAATTTTCCATTCTGACTTAACAATCACAATTTTTTATATTAATAGGTATATTTTATACTTTAATGAATTTTGATGTTAAAACTGATGCAATTCTTTTACATTTTTAATTAATATTCTTTCTAAATTTTAATTGTCTTAAGGATCCAAATTCTGAAAGAATAGTAGCAAAACTGAGGTAAAATGTTTAAAAATATTCTGAACATTTTGAGTTATACTAAGATTTATTCTTAGGTATAGGCATACATACTGTAACAGTTCTTGCAATTGGAAAAGGTAAGTCTCTATTTGAAGAACTGAATTAAGCTCCTTGGATGAATAGTTTAATACACTATCATTCATGCTATTTCTAGGAGTCCGGTAAAGTGAAGATAGATTTTCTTTTTTAAAGCCCCACATTTCAGATAAGCAAGGAAAACAGGAGAAAATGGATTCTCGCAATTACAGGGGTGGGGGTAATTACCCTAAAGCAGAACTCTCAAAGTGTTGGAAAAAATGTCATTGGTCAGCTTTGCTTTCCCTCCTCTTCCTTATTTTCCTCTCCGCCTCCAGCCTGAATTTAACATAATTATAACTTCGCATAGTAAGTCATGGATACCTTTAATCGGCTCAAAAGTATCCGCTGCTGGTTCAGATGTGAACATCCGTCCTTTACTCGTTGTTGATATCACAAAGCATAATCCTACGCGAGTCTATTTAAAAAAAAGGGCTTCTGTGTTCCATGTAGCTTACTATAAGGAAACTAGAGAGAAAGCCTTAAACACAAACCATAAGTACGTATGGCTTCGTGCTCCAATTTGTCAAGATTGAAAAATATGATTATATTAAAAATAGGATATTCTTTTTTCCCTCCCGTTTTATTGATTTACTTTCTGGTTTGAGCATTTAACTGATACTGAAGTACATACCCCCCCCCGAAAAGGAAATGAAGGGGTGGGAAAGGTCTCAGCCAACCTCGTCACGTAACACGCGGTTGCAATTCATCAGCCAACGCGAGCTGCAGGGAAGTGGCCGTAGTAATCGTAGTAAGCCTCACGTTAACTCTAGGATCTGATTCTTGCTTATGTGTAACAGGGATGCGTCCTATTGGTCGATGCGTCTACCTATCGCAGTGCTCAATCACAGTGGCGCTGGCGACACCGGCTCTCTGATTCGCTCCCGCTTCTCTCCATTCACGGGCTTTTGGGGCAGTCTTTAGTGCTCTGCTGGCTGTGGCGCGAAACTCGCTTGTCTCTCGTCGCGCAGTCGTGCTTCTGTATACTTGGGACTTCTTTTGTTTGATAGGGTAATGGTTTGTAGGGTGGCTTAGATGCTTACTCCGTTTATGCTAATAAAGGCAAAATTATTCCGCTCTTCTTTTAAGTAAAGAGGATAGGGAAACGAACGAATTGATGGAAGAAATATGAGGACGTTGTTTGTAGTCTATGGGTTTCCTACGATATCGTTTTCGCATTTTTTGATGGCTGACGGAGGAGCGGTTCTGTTGGGGCTTAAGGGTTGATTGCAATCTTACACGAATATATATATATATATAGTTGTGCCTTCTCGGCGTTTTCTTAGAGCAGGACTTAACACTAAGTAGAATGGAGCGTGCATATCTCTAAAACAGTCTAGTTAAGGAATGTATCATTCAGTATGACTTATCTAAATCATTCTTGCATCGCCAACGTCAGAGTCGAATCGCCTGTTAATGTACTTATAATCAAGAATACTATGTAAACAAAGATCAGAAATGTTCCATGAATCTTGAATTTGATGTATTTTTTTAGAACTATGAATCTAAAAATGTGTCAGAGTTAAAGAAGTTTATAGCAAAATCTTCAAGAAAATGTTAATGATGGGGGAGGGAATGAGATCACTAAAGATTCAGAAATATTTTAACAAAACACGTTCGACTGTCACAGACAAATGAAGACTAGAAAGTATTTAAAATACTTTGTTAACTCCTGAAAAATTTATTTAAATTGAGAAAGTAGGATTTAAAATGCATTTCTAATCTTCAGAAAAATGGTGCAAATGCACATTTACTGCTGCTTATTTAATAGATCCAAGAATAACAGCACTGCTGTTTCTTTGCCAGCTTTCTGTACCTTTTACAAGGAAAGAAGCAGAAAGTATCAGATTGCATCTGTATTTCACCTGTGTTAAATTTTTGCTGCCTTGATAGCTATCAGAGGCATACTGAAAGTGTGCCAGAAGGAAAAGACAGAATCTGGGCAATTCTTAATGCTGGATCAATACAAAGATAGAGCATTAGCTAAATGTATAATCTATTCTCTAGCCATAACATGTTTGCTTGCATTATGAACATTTGTCTGATTTTTATTTTGGGGCATATAGAGAGACTATTTTGGGAAGAGTCTAAGCAAAAAAGAACATATTGGCATAATTTTATATTTTATTAAATATAGAAATTAAATTTATTTTAAAGTAATTTATGTACTGAAATATTAATCTACTTTTAATAATGGGAATTAAAACCATTCTATGACAGAAACTGCTATTCTCTCTACCCAGGAAGGATTTGAATTTAGACAGAAGATTATTTAATGGGTTAATATCTGTGGGGTTTTTTTGTGATACACTTATTTTATTTAGTTTGGATACCAAATGGTAAAATAAAATTGTGTATAATTAATTTGGGTTTTGATCTTTAGGCTTGCATGTAACCTTGTACGTAATATTGAAATGTTGGAAACAAGTGATCACAATAAAAATAAATTCATGTTATGAAGCTATAGAAGAAATCATTTATAATTTAAAGCTCAGATAACATAAGTAGCATTTCTTTTTTATTATCTATTGAAATGTGTGGGTTTTTTATGGAAATTTGTAAATTAACATTTTTTTGGGTTGGTGCAGACAGTATAAATATGTGGAAATTAAATCTAACGTTAGCTTGTTTTGT